GATCTCCGAAATAGCTGCTATAACTTCTGCCGCTTAGACTTTGTTGCTTTTTCAATTTTTCCTAATAAACAATCGTGGTACAAAGCTCAATGAACATATTAGCAATTAAAATTCAATGTTAATAAGCCACAACAACATTGACAAATACATATGTAGTTCAGGAACAGCCTGCCTGAAACTATACAAAAAAGCAAATGCATGTTTAGAAATGACAGAAAAAACCCCGCTGTCAAGTTTAAATAGGGGCAAATCAGCTGCACTTGATAGCAGTAGGTTGAATATGGAAAATGAATTAGCAACACGAGTTTACGGGGTGTGCATAGCTCATTGGTTAACGCTTCTCAGTTTGCACATCGATGACGCGGGTTCGATCCCTGCTGCAGTCTAGAAAAAAGAAGTCTGATGAGGAGATGTGGTGATCTCCGAAATAGCTGCTATAACTTCTACCGCTTAGATTTTGTTGCTTTTTCCAATTTTCTTAATATAATAATCGTGGTACAAAGCTCAATAAAAATATTAAAAAGAAAATGATTTCACCTTATTACGTTTATACCATGGCTATCTATTAGCTTTGTTTTGAATGCGTCACCATGCGGTATCACAAATAGTTTTGAGAAAAAAAAACTTATTCCTTCCGGTATAATTAGTTGGTATTTTAAACGGGATTCTTTTATCCAAAAGTATTCATTTGTACAAAATGCCCAATCGGGGAAAATGTAACATGCAAAAAATAAATAGCCAAATGAACCACCAGTGGCAACTGTGGAAGTGATCAGCTGTTTCGAAGGTTGCAAGTTTTTGCGTTCTCGTACTTCGTGGATATTTTGTCTCTTTGTCTTCTTCTTCTTATTTGGCGCCTTAACCGCCAAGACGATTTTGGCCAACTTCAACAAAGCACGCAAGTCGTTTCTTTTCTGTGCCAACTGACGCCAATTGGAAATGCTTAGTGAATCCCAGTCCTCCTCCACCTGATCTTTCCAACGCAGAAGAGGCCTTCCTCTTCCTCTGTTACCACCAGCGGGATTCGAGTTGAATACTTTCAGAGCTGGAGCATCGGAGTCAATTCGAACGATATGGCCAAGCTAGCGGAGCCGCTTTATTTTAATTCGCTGAACTATGTCCATGTCATTGTAAAGCTAATGCAGCTCATCGTTCCATCGTCTGCGGTACTCACCTCCACCAACGCGTAAAGGACCGTAAATCTGCCGCAACATCTTTCATTCGAATATTCCAGAAGCCGCCTCATCGGATGTTGTCATTTTCCCTGCTTCTGCGCCGTAGAGACTTATAGAGTGTGGTTTTCTGACGTCGAGAGAAGACTTTGCTAGTCAATTGCCTACTCAGTCCCATGCAGCACTTGTTGGCAAGAGCAATTCTGCGTTGGATTTCCATGCTGATATTATTATCGGTGTTTATGCTGGATCACAAGTAAATGAAATTCTCTACTTTATCGAAATTATAACTGCAACAGTGACATGGGTGCCAAGGCGCGAATGTCTGACTGTTTGTTTGATGACAGGAGATACTCCGTCTTGTCGTCGTTTACCAACAAACCCATTCGCTTTGCTTCCTTATCCACGCTGAACAGACTTCGCGGTATTTGTTATTGATGATATCGATGTCATCGGCAAAAGCCAGCAATTGCACGCTCTTGTAGTAAATTGTTCCTGAGCGGTTCAGTTCTGCGGCTTTTTATTTTCTCCAACATCAGATTTAAGAAGTCACATGAAAAGGATACGCCCCTTCTGAGACCCTGTTTGGCGGGGAACGTCTCAGAAAGGTATTTTCCAATTCTGACGGAGCTGGTGGTATTGCTCAACGTCATTTTACACAGCTGTATCAGTTTGGCGGGGATGCCAAATTCATACATAACTCCGTATAGGGAACTCCTCTTAGCGCTATCGAAAGCGGCTTTAAAGTCGACAAACAGGTGGTGAGTGTCGATCCTTTTCTCGCGGGCCTTTTCCAAGATTTGGCGAATTGTGAATACCTGGTCTATGCTGGATTTTCCAGGCCTAAAGCCACTCTGATAAGGCCCAATCAGTTCATTGACGTTGGGCTTCAGTCTTTCACACAATACGCTCGATAAAACCTTGTAACCTATGCTTAAAAGGCTGATCCCGCGGTAGTTGGCGCCAATGGCGGGGTCGCCTTTCTTTCGGGTTGGGCATAGCACACTTAAATAAAGCTTGAATAGCTCAGCTGGCAGGCTGTCAGCTCCAGCAGCATTTTTGTTTTTCAACCGCGTTATTGCTGTTCGTACCTCGTCATAGGCAGGTGGAGGAACATCGACTCCGTCATCATCGACTGCGGGCTCGGTTTCTTCTTCTCCATAACTTTCCGTACTGCTACCATACAGTAAGGTGGACAAGTGTTCCCTCCATAATTTAAGTACGTTCTGAATATCGGTAACCAGGTCGACATTGTTGTTCATACATGGGTACACCCTGGTCTTGAAACCTACGGGAATTCTCCCTGTAGGCTAGGATTTCAAGCTCTTCGCAATCACGTATTTCAGCCTCTCTCTTCTTATTGCGGCAAATACTTCGCGCTTCCGTCTACAGATACCTATAGCGGTCTCATATGGCTCGCGTTTCACCCGATTACAGCGTGGCCTTGCAGGGTCATCTTTTTTCTCTGCAGCTCCCTGACAGCCCTCATCGCACCAGTTCTTTCGGGCTCGCTATAATCCGACTACTCCTTCGGCGGCGGTACTTAATGAGCGGGAAATGTGGTTCCACTGCTCGCATATCTCGGTTAGTTGATGAGTGCTCTCTGAGAGTATGTGTGAGTGTTGAGTAGCGAATGCGTTTGCTGTCGGTTGTGTATGCAGGTTTTCAACGTTAAGCTTTCCTTGCATATTTGGGCCCACATTATGTGCTGCACAGAGGCGGGTGCGTATCTTGGCTACAACAGAATAGTGGTCCGAGTCGGTGTTTGAGCCTCGGAGTGTACGTATGTCTAAAACACTGGCAGCATGCCTTCCGTCTATCACAACATGGCCGATTTAGTTTCTCGTTTTTCGATCCGGAGACAGCCACGTAGCTTGATTAATCTTTTTATGCTTGAACCTATTACCGCATACTATCATGTTTTGGGCCCCGGCGAAGTCGATCAGCCTCAGTCCGTTGTCTGTCGTTTCGTCGTGGAGGCTGAATTTTCCTAGGGTGGTTTCAAAAATCCTTTCCTTGCCTTCCCTGGCATTGAAATCGCCAAGCACGATTTTGCTATCGTTGCGGAGAAGCGCTCATACGGGTGCTCCAAGCACTCATAGAAGAGATTCGTGGATACCTTATGCTTCTCTTCCGTCGGGGCATGGACGCAGATGAGCGATATATTGGAGAATCTCGCTTTGATGCGGATTATGGCTAGGCGCTCGTCCACCAGGGTGAACGACACTACTCGGGGACAGATTCTCTCTTCCACCACAAATCCAACACCGAATTTCCGCTCCTTTACATGGCAGATGTAAATAGTAGACGTGGCAAGGCCCCAGGCATTGCNGCGCAGATGAGCGATATATTGGAGAATCTCGCTTTGATGCGGATTATGGCTAGACGCTCGTCCACCAGGGTGAACGACACTACTCGGGGACAGATTCTCTCTCCCACCACAAATCCAACACCGAATTTGCGCTGCTTTACATGGCAGATGTAAATAGTAGACGTGGCAAGGCCCCAGGCATTGCTTGCCTTGGCCCGTCCAACACATTTCTTGCATGGCGGTGATGTCAGCTTTTGTTCTTAGGAGGATATCAACCAGCCGGGCAGAGGCACGTTCCTCATTAAGGGTCCGGACATTCCAGGTGCATGCCCTCAAATCGAAGTACCTTAAACGTTTGCCGTGGTCGCCATCATAAGGGAACTCTCATCCGAAGCATTGCTTCGCTTCTTCACTGAAAGGGGTTTTTACGCGGTGGGTCCCAAACCCAACGCACAACCCATTGCTGGGTCGGGGGTCATTTCGTATCCAAATAAACATATATCTAGTGAGCCGCTTTGTCCAAAACAGACACCCGCTATCAGCCACGCATACTGGTGAACAGACGCTGCAGACTTCAGTGAGCCCTTAAACCGAATAAGTCGGAGTGGCCCCACCGAAGCTCCCTCTCTTTCTTTCGTGACCCAAGGCTCCACTCGGATTGGCTATCGCATCTCTTAGATGGGTTGCTCACGTTGCCAGAGTGCACGAACGAGGACGCAAGAACCGGGATTAAGTATAGCCGTGCAAAAGTCTCTTTAAGAATTTTTCTGCTAGATAATTTTGTCCGTTCAACACGAGTACATACATATTTTATTCGGTCACAGGAATATGCTTTATGCTGGCTAAGGCATCGTCTTTATTTCTAAATATGAAATCAAATATTGAAATATTACGTGCGTCTGGATTATTTCCCACTGCGCTAAGAAACAAGTCGCGAAAAGTAATCCAGTTCTCGTACTTTCCGTTGAATTGCATTACAACAATAATAGATTGGCGCTTACAGAATATATTTTATTTTTGGCCGAGCTTCTCCTCCGATTTGTGGTATGCGCCTTGATGTTGTCACATAAGGGAGAAGGACCTACGCCGACTCGGAACGGTGATTGGTTGTTTATGAGAAGCTGTTTTTCATGGCAGGATTACACTAGTAGGTTTACCATTGGGTGCCGGGCGGTGACCGCCATTAGAAAAAAACCGTTTCTTTTATTATGCTAGTCGGAACCTGGGCTTGAACCCCATCCCTGCAGAATAGTAGCGCGCACCACTAACCACCACACCACAGCGGTCGCCGTTGAACTTGGATAACTTTCTTTAACTGAAAATTTTGCTCACTACAGGTAGCGGCAAATTTGTGAATTTAGATGAATGGCTTGAAGAAGTTGTCATGTTAGCAATTTGAGAATGCAAGAGTGCATCTGTTTGTAAATGACCAAAACACCTACAACATACTCCCCCTCTCCTCTAACATTTACTTAGTAAAATCCTTTAATTAGCAACCATACACCGCTAGTACTAAAGCCAGATCTAAGCCGTTAGTGGTAATTAGAACAGTATGTATATTTATTTATGAATAATGGTAGAACATTGGTATATACCTGTGCTTGCGTAAATAACACTCTTCTTTTTCTGCGTTGTGTCAATGGAAATTGTAACGGTTTTGAATCCGATACACTACAAGTAGCAAGGCCTCCCATATTTCCCATATGTCCCATCGAGCTAGAGGCTGATCCACCCATTAATCTCGTTACTGTAAAAAATATATATGCACATTACTAAACAACATAAAAAAGAGAGATCATATAATAGTTTAGTTAGATACTGATGTAACAGATTTTTGGTTTCAGAATAAGTGATATTCCGTGAATGTACATAAAGTAACTCGGTAATTCTCTAGTTGAAGGTACATTTTGCAAAAGAAAAAAACACGTCCAAAACTGTCACGAGGGGTGCCAATCGGCGCATTTTTATCCTTGTATTAACAATCCGGAGGTGGGGGGTTTATATTGTTAACCGTGTAAAAGTTATTTAAAAAAAACTTTCTTGAGATGTTGCTCTTTTTATGAGTAATTGCACGCTCAAAAATGCACTAAATCACCAATATTCTCTTATGAAACACTAGTAAAATATATTATTTGAAAAACCTTTTCAAAAAGTACGTAAATTTTACAACAAAAGATTGCTTATTTTGTTATTAAAGAGAAAGTAAAAAATGTTCCCGAACTGAAACGAGAAAATTTTTTATAGATATATGGACGTACGTATGTATATGACATTTTCTTTTAAATCGGCAAAATGCATATTAACTTGAGATATAAATATAATTGTTAGTGACAAAAACGAAAAATACTCAACCTATAAATTAAAGTGGTCCATAAATGTATGTAAAAAAATAAGGTCGAATTTTTAAGGCCGCCAGCCCCTAGGATTATTCTATACCAAAAAAAAATATACCCCTATTTTTTTATTTTGAAATAAAAAAAATTTAGGGAGTGCTAAAAGCGCTCAAAGTTTTCAATGTATTTTATATGGGGGAAAAACAACGTTTCGTAGAAATAGTGTAGAATTCTGGAAAAGCAATATTTTTCGATGGGAAAACTTTGCTTATCTTCAGGAGATTCCCGGTAATAATACCCAATTGCTCCTTTAACAATTTTTTCATGGTAACTATATCTTATAGGTTCTAGAAAATGCAATGGGGGGACCAATAAAAAATCTTTAGTCATAAAAAAATGGTTAAATAAACAATTGGATATTTATATTTTAAGTCTCCTGAAGAGAACCACAGTTTTACGATTGAAAAATATTGATTTTCAAGAGTTTTATACAATTTTTACGTAAATTTGTTTTTGTAATTTATTCTTTTAGATTGCAAAACAGCAACGACTTAGTCACATTCTTAAGGTATGTATTGAGACTTTTTATATGTTTATAAATTTTAATTGATATTTTTGCTTGTTTACAGATTCACTATCAGCACCTTCAACGCTTGCATCTTCATCGCCAGGAGCACCATTAGAACCTTCTGCCCTCAGCTTCTTCATCGCCAGGAGCACCACCAGTACCCTCTACCCTCAGCTCCTTCATCACCAGGAGCACCATGAGTACCTTCCGCCCTCAGCACTTTCAACGCCAGAAGCACCTTCAAAGTGTAGGTCCAACTTGTCAAACTTTGCAAAGTTGTAAGAAAACTTAATTTTTCTGAACCACCATAAATTATTTGCAACTGTTAATATATATCAAAAGAAAGGTAACCCGATTACCTTTCTTTTTATTATAACACTGTTAAAATTGCTTTACGTTTTCATAAAAACTTTGCAACTTTTATAAACAGCTATATATAAGCAGTGGAAAAGTGGTAAAATTTTGCAAAGTTGTAATGAAACTGAATTTTTGTGAACCATTATAAATGATTTGCAACTTTTAATATATATCAAAAGAAAGATAAATCGATTACCTTTCTTTTTATTATAATATTATTAAAATCGCTTAACTTTCTTATAGAAATTTTCCAACTTTTTAAACATCTAAGTGCAAATGAGTAATACTAATAATAAGAAATTAAGCCAGCGCATATGTATGTAT